TTGTACATATTTTCTCTCATTTAGTCAGACGCCTCTTCCTTTTTTTTTTTTTTTTGGATGTCTTCCTTTGCTGTGCAGAAGCTTTTTAGTTAGATGTAGGCCCACTTGTTTATTTTTTGCTTTTGTTGCCTGTGCTTTTGATGTCAAATCCAAAAAGTGATTATAAGACCAATGTCAAGGAGCTTACCGCCTAGTGTTTCTTCTAGGAGCTCTATTGTTTCAGGTTATATTCAAGTCTTGATCCTTTTTGAGTTGTTTTTGTGTGTATGGTATAAGATAGCAATCTAGGTTTGTTCTTGTATGTGTGATTGTCCAGTCTTTCTGACACTGTTTATTGCAGAGACTGTCCTGTCCCCGCTGTGTGTTCCTGGCTCCTTCGTCATAAATGGACGGACCACGTGTGTGTGGGTTTATTTCTGGGCTCTCATCCTGTCCCATGGGTCTCTGAGTCTGTTTCTGCGCTAATACTGTACTCTTTTGATTGCTGTAGCTTTGTGATATAATTTGGATTAGGCAATGTGATGTTTCCTGCTTTGATCTTCTTTCTCAAGACTGCTTTGGCTACTTGGGTCTTTTGTCATTCCATCATATGTTAGAGTTGCTTATTCTATTTGTGTGAAAATGCCCCTGTAATTTTGACAGAGATTGCATTGACTCTGTAGATTGCTTGGGGCGGTGTGGACATTTTAACAATATCCGTTCTCCCAGCCCATGAGCATGGGATGGCTCCCCACTTCTTTGTGTCTTCTTCCACTTCTTTCATCGCTGTCTTACAGTTCTCATGGTGCAGGCACTTTACCTCCTTGGTTAAATGTATTCCTAGGTAGAGTACAGGTTTCCCACGTTTTCTGGAAGCAGAATGTTTCTGTGAAACTTGTCTTAAGGTAAATGGTATAAAACAAAAGAGTATCTCCTGCTTTTCAAAAGATTGCCTTATGCCACTCACTTTGACAGAGGGCCACATTATTACCTGCCTTCATCAACCAAAAGAAATCCAAAGAGGATTTTGCTCTCATGGGAAAAGCCATTACCACACTAGTGTAGGTCTTTTATGAAAACTAAGAGGCTTAACACAACCTTTCAGAAATTGAAGATCCCCATGTTGGTTTTGATGCAATTATAAATGGGATTGTTTTCTTAGTTTCTCTTTCTGATAGTTCGTTAACTATATTTTTCATATGTCTCTTTGTATAGTTTTTTTAGTGGTTGCTCTAATTATTACATTATATATTACATAGCTTATCACAGTCTGTGGGTGGTCGTTTTACCGATTCAAGTGAAGTATAGAAAATGTACCTTACTTTACATCCCATTAGCCTCCCCCATTTATATTTGTCCCCTAAAACATCAGTGTTACACCTTTGGCTTCTACAGTAAAACCTAAGTCAGAAAACTCAAGAGGAAAATGAAAGCTTATTATATTTACTTATATTTTGCTTATTGTGTTCTTTCTTCCACCTGCTGTTCCAGTGTTCTTTCTTTTATTGCTCCCCTTATGTTTGTAGGACTGTCTTTAGCCATTCTTAATATGTTTTTTATTGATTTCTTTTAGAGAGAGAGGAAGGGATGGGGGAGAGAGAGAGAAACATCGATGGGAGAGGGAGAGAGATCAGCATCGATTGGCTGCCTCCTGCACACCTCCTGTGGGGGAGCGAGCCCACAGCCCAGGCATGTGCCCTGACCAGGAATCTAACCTGGGACCTCTCAGTCCATGGGACACGCTCAGTCCATTGAGCCTGCAGACTAGCTCTGATGGCACCGAGTACTTTCTTTTTCTTTATCTGAAAGTGTCTTCGCGTCTCCTGTATTTCTGAAGGAGACCTTCCCTGGTTGCATTCTTCCAGGTGACATTTTTTTCTTTCAGCACAGAACGGATATTTTGTCGCCTCCTTTGGCCCCCAAAGCCTTCATTGTGACATGTCCTGTCATTCTAATTGTTTTACCTCTATAAGTGAAGTGTCATTTTTCTTTGTTTTTCATTTTTTAGGTTTTTCTTTGTCCTTAGTTTTCAGAAGTTTAATTAGGACGTCAATCTGGCGTGAATTTCTTTGCGTTTATTACGTTTGGAGTTGTCAAATTCTTAAATCTGTACATGTATGGTGTGGGGGTTTGTTTGTTTTCCGGTGAGTTTGGGAAGCATTCTGCCATTATTTTTTGAGGGGCTGTTTCAGCCCCCGCTGGTTCTCACCTCCTTCCAGGATCCCGCGGCCCAGGTGTCACCTGTCACGACCCACCTGTGCCCACGAGGCTCTGCTCAGTTGTTTTTATTTATGTTTGGTCTGTGTTCTCTGTCTCGTTCAGACTGGTTAGTGTCTGTTTTCTGCTTTCTGTTGACGGAGCCTTCTTGGTCCCTTCACGTGCGGGTGAGCCCTCTCCTGAGCTTGTGCTTTGCTTATTGTAGGTGTCATCTGTAACATTTCCGTTTGCTACTTCTTCTTCTACATCTTTTGAGTTTTTTCAGAAACTTTCAGGTTTTTTTGCTGACTCTGTTTTTTTTCAATTGTTTCAAGCAGGTTCATAATTGCTCATGAAGTGTTTTTCTTGTGGCTAGTTTCAAGTTCTTGTCAGGAAATCTAATTCCTGTCACCTGCCATTGGCACCCCTTGGTGGCCCCTCTGTGCTCTCTGAGATCTCTGCATTGTTCGCAGAAGGAGCTCGAGATCGAATCCCAGATGTCTTCCGAGACGCTGTAGCTCTCGAGACCTGCCTCTCGGTCGGCTTCCTGTGCGGTGGTCCCCAGGGCCCGGGGTTACCCCTCTTCATTGCCAAGTGGAGGTGGAAATTGAGGGTTCCCACTCCCCGCCTTCGACTTCCAATGGGCGGCCCCGCCTGACTCCTGGGGGGGCAGTTCCCTCTTCAGTTCCCTCCAGAGGGGTGGCCCCACGCTGCTGGTCAGTGGTGGACGTCCTGCCTCTGTCGCCTCTGACAACCACCGGTGGGCAGGGAGGGCCTCCCCACTGTAATGGGGGTGAATTCAGCGGTCCACATGGTCTCACTGAGCTTGGGGGTACCTGTCTGGTTGCCTCTGATATCATGGGCTTCACAGGAGGCCTCCCAGTTGTCTCTGCTGGTGTGGGCAGGGTGGGTGCAGTCTCCCTGGCGTTTGGCCAGAGCACAGAAGTTGTTGTCTGAACCTTCTGCGTCTCCCCAGGCCCTTTGGCTAGTGAAAGAGGCTTTTGTTGGGGGGCTCTTTTTTTTTCTTTCTTTTGTCTGCACCCGATGGCTAATTGGTTGTTGACCTTTTTGCCTCAAGGTCTAGGATATATGAGATGAAAAGAGAGCCCAGGGAACTCAGAGCTGTGTTGTCCCTCAGGCCCCGAGGTCCTTAGCCAGCCACTTACGGTGTTTATATGTAAGGTCCAGCGTTTTGTATGTAATGTCCGCTGTCTTGTATGTAATGTCCAGCGTCTTGTATGTAATGTCCGCTGTCTTATATGTAATGTCCAATGTTTTATGTGTAACATCCAAACTTTTTCTGTTGTACTCAGTGGGAGGAATAGAGAAAAGTATGTCTATGGCTAGAAATTTGGGAAAACGGTCTCTCCTAGTAAATTCAGTTACTTAATTTTAACATACACATAAGGAAATTCTGTACAGCAAGATTTTAGCCTGGTTTTTCTTAAACCACTAGGATAAGTCTGTATTTATAAAGATAGAAATCATGCTATTTTAAATTAATAACAGAGTTGCACTACTTGTAACAATTATTCATCAGGAAATCCTTATTTTGACAAAAATTGAGTTATAATGATGTTTAGAAAAACAAGTATATTAAAATATACTACAAGTGCTTATAATTTTAATGTTCTTACATTATGTTTTTACAATGAAGTTATAGAAACAAAATTATATAGTTATAAAATCTGGAATGCTTTTCAAATCACTATACATATCTTTAGATTTTCAAAGTAAAAAAAATTTTTTTAATTAACTCATTAACTATGTATCAAAACGTATGTGTCAGCCATTGCGCTGGAGATATAACGATGAGCAAAACATACCCAGTCCCTGCCTTAATCACACATAATGTTCTCTGTGATTGTGAAACCCTGGCCTCTACAAAAGCAGTGGGTATGTTTTATAAATACCACTGCTCAGGAAAGTTGGAAAATTGTCTTTGGCTCTATCATTCCAAATATTATATAGAGGAAAACAGAATTCTGAACAGTGGCATTTATCACCAATTTTTATTGAAATTAAATTGAAAAAAATGATATCATGAAATGTTTTGTTGATATACAATGAACATACTTCGGTGGTTTCTGACATATCAGATGGATTCTTAATATGGGTTTAGAGGGTAAGACAGTTTAGACCATGTTATCCAATGAGGGCCATGATTGTTAATGGTTTATACACGCTGAAAGCTGTAAAATCGTCCAAGGGCTCTGTTAGCATTGGAATAATAATTTACCAGGACAATTACCACATACTGGAATTTTCGCAGCCCTAATTCAGTATTATTAATAATGGATAAAATTGCACTTTTCTCAGGTTGCTGTGGGCAGCAGGGAATTATTTCAATGAATATTTCAGCACATTATTTTAATCATTGTTCCACCAAATCCAATTGGGCGATATTTTATAGTTCTTAATTCAGTCTGCGAAGAAACCAGGTCATTAAATTGCGCGCTGTTTGTATTGGGGTCTAGCCTGTGATTTACAAGCCTTGTTAAAAACAGTGTAAAAGAATGCGAACCCATGGATACTTGTAATTGGACGCTACGTTTGTTACTAACCTCCCTGTGATTAATGTGTTTTAGTAGAAGGAAGAACATTAAAGAGGAAACAGCTGAGTGTTGTGATGCTTAAATCAGAGAATATTACTGTTTGTTCATTTGTAAACATATGTATACAAACACAATTATAAACCATAAATTCCTCAAAATTATCTTAATTGCCAAGTGAGACCAAAGAATGATTTCATTTTATAGACAGAATGCATCCCTGGTATACACTGTCAGTAATGGTGACGGCTGTCCCTGTTTTCCTGTGATTAGCCAGCTGCACGACTTCTGGCGCCTGGATTACTGGGAAGACGACCTGCGCCGGAGACGGCGGTTCGTGCGGAACGCCTTCGGCTGCACGCACGCCGAGGCCTTGCTCCGAGCGGCCGTGGAGTACGGTGAGTGCCCGCAGGGCTGCGGGGCGTGTGCTGGGCCCCTGCACTTACCCCCGGGGAGGTCACCGCTGCGCCCTCGGCACCCCCTGGGGAGGTCACCGCTGGCTCTGCTGCGCCCTTCGGGATCTCTCGGGGAGATCGCCGCTGCTCTCTGGGGTGCCCTCGGCACCCCGCGGGGAGGTCACCACTGCGCTCTGCTGCGCCCTTCGGGATCTCCCGGGGAGGTCACCACTGCGCTCTGCCGCGCCCTCGGCACCCCCTGGGGAGGTCAGCGCTGTGCTCTGCTGCGCCCTCGGCACCCGCGGGGAGGTCACCACTGCGCTCTGCTGCGCCCTCGGCACCCCCCGGGGAGGTCACCACTGCGCTCTGCTGCGCCCTCGGCACCCCCCGGGGAGGTCACCACTGCGCTCTGCTGTGTCCTCGGCACCCCGCGGGGAGGTCACCACTGCGCTCTGCTGCGCCCCTCGGGATCTCCCGGGGAGGTCACCACTGCGCTCTGCTGCGCCCTTCGGGATCTCCCGGGGAGGTCACCACTGCGCTCTGCTGCGCCCTTTGGGATCTCCCGGGGAGGTCACCACTGCGCTCTGCTGTGCCCCTCGGGATCTCCCGGGGAGGTCACCACTGCGCTCTGCTGCGCCCTTTGGGATCTCCCGGGGAGGTCACCACTGCGCTCTGCTGCGCCCTCGGCACCCCCCGGGGAGGTCACCACTGCGCTCTGCTGCGCCCCTCGGGATCTCCCGGGGAGGTCACCACTGCGCTCTGCTGCGCCCTTCGGGATCTCCCGGGGAGGTCACCACTGCGCTCTGCTGCGCCCCTCGGGATCTCCCGGGGAGGTCACCACTGCGCTCTGCTGCGCCCCTCGGGATCTCCCGGGGAGGTCACCACTGGCTCTGCTGTGCCCCTCGGGATCTCCCGGGGAGGTCACCGCTGCGCTCTGCTGCGCCCCTCGGGATCTCCCGGGGAGGTCACCACTGGCTCTGCTGTGCCCCTCGGGATCTCCCGGGGAGGTCACCGCTGCGCTCTGCTGCGCCCTCGGCACCCCGCGGGGAGGTCACCGCTGCGCTCTGCTGCGCCCTCGGCACCCCGCGGGGAGGTCACCGCTGCGCTCTGCTGCGCCCTCGGCACCCCCCGGGGAGGTCAGCGCTGCGCTCTGCCGAGCCCTCGGCACCCCCCGGGGAGGTCACCACTGCGCTCTGCTGTGCCCTCGGCACCCCCCGGGGAGGTCACCACTGGCTCTGCTGCGCCCTCGGCACCCCCCGGGGAGGTCACCACTGCGCTCTGCTGCGCCCTTCGGGATCTCTCGGGGAGGTCGCCGCTGCTCTCTGGGGTGCCCTTGGGCAGCGGGCAGGCCGCACTCAGGACCCAGTTCCCCTTGGTTGTGTTTGAGATCCTCCAACCTCCTTCTACGTAGTTCTTACCCCGCATCCCTCTCATCAGCCGACACAGAAAATAACCAGCTGCTGCTTCAGTGTCTTTCAAACCTCGGTGACCAGGACCCGGGGTGAAAGAAACAATATACTGTTGGTGATCATGTACTCAGACTTACATATGTCTTACCAATATTTGTACACGCATAATGTATACTATGTAAATACACATATATACACGAAATATGTGTACACATGTATACTATGTATATATAGATAGATATGTACATCCTTGTATTTAAATGAAACAAATGTCTTATTAATAATCTTATTACATAGCATTCTCTATTTTAATCCTATTCTATTCTAATCTTTTTAGTAAAAATAAAATAAATCCTGCTACAAATATGCTCATTTAAGCCCCAATCCTCCAGTGGGTTGAAAATAAAGTTTCAGAAAGATTATCCTACATTAAAGGTATATCGACTATCACATTATCATAGAACCGTACCCTAAATTGTCCTTTACAAATAAATAGTACAGTAAATGGTAAATCTCAAAAATAATATTGTAATTTAATAAAAATGCTAGTACCTTTGTTCTGGCTGGTATGGCTCAGATGGCTGGGGCATAGTCCCTTGCACCAGGGGTGACAGGTTCGGTTCCAGGTCAGGCACATAGCCAGGTTGCAGGTTTGAGTCCCAGCCAGGGCATGTGTGGTAGGCAACCCATCGGTAATTCTCTCTGACAGCAATGTTTCTTTCTCTCTCTCTCTTCTTCCATTTATCTCTCTAAGGTAAAAAAAAAAAAAAAATGCTACTACTTTTGATAGCTGTCCACCAAAATGTACTCATAGGAGTATTTTGCTTATTTACACATTTTTAAACAAGTTTAGTTTGATCAAATCAGCATTTTATAAACAAGATATACTTGGAAATAACATTAATAAATACTGTCCATATATTTTTATTACTAACTAGTCTTGTCCTTGAAATTACTCGTGTTTTTACCCTGGCTGGCTTGTCTCAGCAGTTATAGCGTTGGCCTGTGGACTGAAGTGTTATGGGTTCAATTCCCAATGAAGGGCACATAGCTGAGTTGCAGGTTTGATCTCCAGCCACAGTCTGGGTCAATGTGTCTCTCTCACATCAATATTTGTCTCTATCTCTCTCTCTCTTTCCCTCTCTCCCTCCCTCTCTCTCTCTCTCCCTCCCTTCCATGGGTGAGGACTAACAACAACAACAAAAAAAAATTACTTGTTTTTTTATCTTAATTTTCATTCATTTAAGAGTAATAAGTGAGCCATTTGTTTTACAATTTACCATAGTTTATAACCTATAATAATAACATTCATATTCCTGATGGATTAAATGGAGAAAATATTCAATTCTAGGAAAAGGAAAATGTACAAAGCTTTTAAAATGTGTTGCACAAATAGTATGTGAATTGATATAATTTAGTAAGGCTCAAAATATAACTAGATAAACACATGAAGATTTCATATGGAACTATTATACCTAAGATAGTAACTTTATACTATAAAAGTAACTGCAGGAAACAGTGTACTAGAAAAAATTATAGTTGACCTGTACCATAGGGGATTTCTTTAATGAACTCCAAACATTACCATACTAAACAAAAATGGCAATAAATAAGTACATATCAGTAATCACCTTAAATGTAAATGGATTAACTGCTCCCATAAAAAGACACAGAGTAGCTGATTGGATAAGAAAGCATGACTCATCTATATGTTGTTTACAAGAGACCCACCTCACAACAAAAGACTCACATAGGTTGAAAGTGAAGGGATGGAAAAAAATCTTCCAAGCAAACGGAAAGGAAAAAAAAGCTGGGGTAGCAATACTCATATCTGATCATATAGATTTCAAATGAAGGCCATAACTAGAGACAAAGAAGGTAACTACATAATATTGAAAGGATCTATCCAACAGGAAAATATAACCTTGATAAACATATATGCACCCAATGTAGGAGCACCAAAATATATTAAAAATCTAGTGGAGGACTTCAAAGGAGAAATCGATAGCAATACAGTCATAGCAGGGGACTTCAACACCCTGCTGACATCACTGGATAGATTCTGTAGACAAAAAAATTAGCAAGGAAACAGAGATTCTAAATGAAGCACTAGACTAAATGGATTTAATAGATATCTACAGAGAATTGCACCCCAAAACTACAGAATTCACATTCTTCTCAAGTGCACATGGGACATTTTCAAAGACAGACCACATGTTAGGGTAGAAACTAAGTCTCTAGAAGTTCAAGAAGACAAAAATCATATCAAGCTTCTTCTCAGATCACAATGGCATGAAACTAGAAATCAATTGCAAGAAGAACATACAAAGACATTTGAACCATGGAGACTAAATAGCATGTTATTAAACAAAGAATGGGTTACTGAGGAGATCAAGGAAGAAATTAAAAACTTCCTGGAAACCAATGAAAATGAAGACACAACAACACAAAATCTATGGGATGCAGTGAAAGCACTTGTGAGAGGGAAATTCATAGCACTATAGGCCTACCTCAAAAATCAAGAAAAATCTCTAATAGACTATCTAACCTCACAACTTAAAGAACTAGAGAGCAAACAAAAAGAAAACCCCAGAGCAAGTAGAAGGAAGGAAATAGTAAAGATCAGAGCAGAAATAAACAACATAGAGTCCAAAAAAACAATTTACAGGATCAATGAAACAAAGAACTGGTTTTTCGAAAAGATAAACAAGATTGATGGACCCTTAGCTAGACTCACCAAGAAACAAAGAGAACCCAAATACACAAAATCAGAAATGAAGGAGAAGTAACAACTGACACCACAGAAATACAAAAGATCGTTAACAACTACTATGAACAATTATATGGCAACAAATTCGACAATCTAAGCGAAATGAACAAATTTCTAGAAACTCATAGTCTCCCAAAAGTGGACCAGGAAGAGATAGAAAACTTGAACAGACCAATAACAACCGAAGAAATTGAAGATGTAATCAAGACTTTCCCAGCAAACAAAAGCCCAGGCCCGGATGGCTTGTCGGGGGAGTTTTACCGAACATTAAAGAACTAACACCCATTCTCCTCATACTATTTCAAAAAATTCAAGAAGGAACACTTCCAAACTCGTTTTATGAAGCCAACATAATTCTAATTCCAAAACTAGTAAAAGACACCACAAAGAAAGAAAACTACAGGCCAATATCCCTGATGAACTTAGATGCCAAAATCCTGAACAAAATACTAGCAAATTGGATCCAGCAATACACCAAAAAAATTATTCACGTGACCAAGTGGGATTCATCCCAGGGATGCAAGGCTGGTACAATATTCGCAAATCAATAAACGTGATACATCACCTAAATAAAATGAAAAATAAAAACCACATGATCATATCAACAGATGCCGAAAAAGCCTTTGACAAAATCCAGCATCCATTTTTGATATAAATGCTCAGCAATATCTCAACATAATAAAGACCATATATGAAAGACTACAGCCAATATCATACTCAATGGGCAAAAACTAAAAGCATTTCCCTTAAGAACAGGAACAAGGCAAGGATGCCCACTTTCACCACTCTTATTTAACATAGTACTGGAAGTCTTGGCCACAACA